AATTCCTGGAGCAACAGATGGTCTCCTGGCAGAGAATTCTTTTAGCAGTGAGTGTCCCCAGACTCCCACTGCAGTTTACTTTCCCCATTCATGCTTACAAGGAAGATAAGACACGTCAAACTGTGAACACCTTTGCTTTCCAGAGCTCCAAAAAAAAGCCTGGGAAATTTTTATTGCTACATGCTAAACGGCTCCAGCTGTTTCTGTGCCCCCAGTTCTCCTTCCCACTCATGGTGCTGCAAACCAGGGGCTGCCCCAGCCCTGATTCCCAGCCAGCATGAGCAGAGCAGGGACAAAGCAGGGGCCAAGGAACACTGAACCCAGCAGAGTGAAGCCTCTGGGATAATGAAGGGTTTTGCCACTGCCACGTCTCAAAGTGCTTTGAGCATTTTCCTGCCTGTGCAGCACATGTAGGTTCGTGTTCCTGAGTGTAGAGCGTGCCAGTCAGGGCTAAATCCCAAATCCTGCCTGTGCCCTGGACAGGTTATCCCACTGCCCTGCAGAGCTGAGGGGGTGCAGATCCCTGAAGGGCTGGGAGCTTCCGTGGGACCTGGTGGGGCAGACCAGACAGGGGCTGCAGAGCTGGGCTCGGGGTTCGCTTCAGCCTGAGACGTGTTGAGCCACCAAAAGCCCTTCTTGGCTCAAAGCCGGGGGTGCTGGGCGTTGTCTGGCCGGGCATGCGGGGTCCCCGCAGCTGCCTGCCTGCCCCGGCATGCGGGCTGGGGGCTGGGGGAGGCATGCAGGGTCCCGCCGCAGCTGCCCCCCGCATGCAGCCCCCGCACAGCCCCTCCTGACCTGGAGTCAAACTTTTTGCCATCTTTAAAGGTCCCATTGTAGTGGTAGCGAATGAAATCCCCCATCTGCGCCTCCCGCAGGCAGATTTTGGGTATATAGTATCTGTCTATCACCACGTCTTCTAAAGGGCCGGGGTCGCCCAGCGCCGGGGCCCCCAGGACGTCCAGGAGGAGGAGGAGGAGGAGGAGGAGGAGGCAGCGGCTGCCCGGGGCCATGGCCATGGCGGTGAGGCGGCGGAAGGGCCCGGCGGGGAGGGAGGAGGGCGCGGGCTTCAGGACGCCCCT